GGATAATCAAAGCCGCTTACAGCCACTTGAACAGCCGTGACCTTCGTAGACAATCACTTGCATTCAAAATGAATCTTCTGTTTACCAGTCCAGGATGCCAGATGTTTCCTACAACAGAAGGGTATCTCAGACCCCCGCTAACGATAAGTATACCAAGCTTACACCTGGTTACGACGACGACAGCTTACAGTTTGACACTCAGGTCCACGGCTACCTTCAGGTATCTTATTGCAAATCTCTCGATTCCTGACGAGAAATTAGCAAACGAGGTGCTTCAAATTCACAGAAAGCACCGAGAATCTAGCCTGTTTAGGATTTTCAGGCCTTTGGCCAGCATCTATGATGCGAGAGAACCTGTGAGTTGAAACACCAAGAAGGCTGATGAGAAGCACAAGACTCAGCCCTGGGGAATACGTTCCCGTTGCTTTCTTTACTGGCATATCCTGCCGAAAAGATAGTCGCCTTTGGGATCACAATGGATTGGTTGAGAATGACTGAGCTCTATTAGGATTGGGTGGCCAGTGGCTCAATAGATCGCGTCCAACTGTCAGTAGGTGTCCTCGCTTTCGTCTCCAGTCTTCACCTTACCCGTCATCACTGGGATCAACGGGCCTTTCAGACCGAAAACAAACACAGGTAGACCGTAATCGACGTAAAACCGCCCCAAGGGAATAAGAATTAGAAACTTTGGTAACAGAGAGATGAGGCACAACGATGGAGATGGTGGAGGGCAATGTCAACGAAGCGCAAAGTCTATCCTTCATGATTGGTAGCCCGAGCTAATGAGTGTATTACGTGGATCCGCCAGGAAGGGTTGGACGCAACGCTGGGAACTTACATGATGATTAATGTTTTCTCTGACTCCTATCTTGCCCGCACTAAAAAGCCCAGTAAGTCAAACCCCCCACTTCCTGGCACCCCCCTGTTTCTGGCACCCACAAAAACGATGGGATCACAACCCAACCTCCTCATTACTATTAACTATTGATCCTCAACCACACCCACTACAATACAACTGCCAGCCTCACTAGGGCATTCAGAGTCGCTGGATTCAGCCGTAATAACCTCCTTTTCACCCGCTTCGATTTGAGCCCGATGGATATCCCTGATGTTCGCAAACTTCGTGTTGGGATCGATCTCTCTTCCTAACTGCAGCGTTGGTAACTTGAGCCCTCAGGTGAGCCAGCTGCTGCTGGGCAGCTGCCAGTTGCCAGGCCTGCTCTGTGAAGCTTTTTCACCTTCCTGAACAGCAGCCGTTGAGTGCTGGTATCATTGTCGAGTTGGGTGTATAAGTGCAGTTGACCGCTGAGCTCTGCCAGCTTCCTGGGTGTCGACCAGACCACTGCAGAGGAAGCAGAATCCCATGGCTCAACAGGGGTAGTTTGTTGACCATTATGGCATCGCTTTTGCCCCGACTGGTTGGTTTGGGTGTGGTGGGCAGAAGGCTCAGGTAATACCATAGGGTTCATCAGGGCTTAACCATCGCTACAGGGTGTAGACCAGTCCACTTCCAACCACTTCTGATGTTCGAGACTGATAGACCAGCAAGTCGAGCCTTCTGGTAACAGTCCAGGAAGTTCCTTTTACCTATAATGGTAGAGTCGTTCCATTGAGACAAGTAACCGAGCTCCTTCCGATAGGCTGACTTAACAGGGCTGAAGACAGACTGGTCAAGTGGCTGGAGGACATGAGAGGAGTGTGGTGGTAAGAACAGTAAATGGATATTGTTAATATAGCAATTCCACATGAAGTCTGTCGTCGTATGACTCCATGCCCATCCACAATCAACAGTCGAGCCTCGCCCTCAGCCTCGGGCATAGTCTGTGGGATAAACACCTTCTCTAACCATTCAATGGCAGTTAAGTCTGTAGTCCAGCCATTATCTGTTGCTGTAAACTCCCACCCATCGTATGGAACCAGATGTAATGGAAACCACTGTTGTTGGACCGTCTTCCCTTGAAAATGATAAGAGGACGAAGTGCCCTACCCAAGGCTGAGATACACTCAATGATAGAGACCCATGCCCTCGACCCAGGTTGTTTCTTGCGAACAGACGTCGTCTCAGCCATGCCCAGCACTAACCCATTAGCTCCTGACCCTCGAGGATGCCAGTCTCATCCATATTATATCTGTTGGCTGGTTTGATGTCCTTGATCTCAGGGATAGCAAGGAACTTAAACCAGTTCCTAATGACCTCAGTAGATGCCCCATTAACGCGTCTAGAATCGATGGAACGACTTCTCTGAACCTTAATGATAGGGTTCCTTCTCACGAAGGCATAGATCCAGCCTTTTCCTAATGGTTTGGTATCCCCAGCAGCAGCCAGAACTCGCTCTGCGAATTCCTTCACCTGTTGGTGCGTTGGTGCGAGGCCCAGCGAAGCCTGAATGCGAACCCATTGTGCCAGCTTACTCTCCTGGTCAGGAGACAGCCTCTGCCAGTCAGCAAAAGCCACTTTCCTAGTCTGACCACCTTGGAGACGTAGTTGGAGGGTTGATCGTGGTATCCCATACTCCAATGAGGCTCTCTTTTGACTCTTGCCGTTTGAGATGTCCTCGAGAGCCTGACGAAGCTGATCTTCGGTATATTGAGGCATTAGATATAGAAGAAGGTATGTGCAAAAAATGAGCCCATTTGGACTCGAATTGAAAATGTTGTGATAAAAGGAGGTTGGGGGTGGGCATTGCGTTGTGGTGGATTTTCGCGTTTTTGTGGGTGCCAGAAACAGGGGGGTGCCGGGAAGTGGGGGGTTTGACTTATCGTCTTTTTGTGAAATTGAATTGGAAAGCATCAAGGGACTTGTGAAAATTGAAGTATGGCGCAGACCGAGACAAGCTCTCTGAAAACCTGCCCTAATGATTTTCTCGAAGCTTTTATAAAACGCAATTAACAGCTGCATGCCTTGTCGCAAAGATGTTTCCTGTTCCACGGGGCCATACAGGGTTTGTTCCTGGAATCGAAATCTCAATCGCGTCAGAGTCAACGGCTGGCAGAGTTTGCGTTTGGCGATGTGGATCTCGATGAAGTTCATTACTATACAAAGCTCGTCGAGGTTTCTAGTGAAACTTCGGAGACCTCTAGCCCTTGGACTTGACGTCCGTTGTGAGAACCGGGATGGGTGTGGCCTGTCCGAGACACGCAGGCGAGGCAGGACGCCAGTATCCGGATCGTCAAGCCGCTATGGAGAGAAGCAGAGAAGGGTGAATTAGCCAGAAGGGCCAGCTTGGAAATCAGGATAACATACACTCGGGCTGTTTACTTGGACCGTGTCACCAAATCAATCCTTCAGTTGACAACCAGTCCAGTGGAATAAGATATAGTACAAGGAGCGATACGTTCCCCCGATGTTTTACTTGGGCCTGCCAGTGAATCGACCATGTCCGATAACATCCATGTGTCCTTCTCTCTTCGCCATTCCAGCCTTTTTCTTGGGTGGTTCATTGAGCCGGGCCTCAGCCGTCCATCAGGGGAAGCTTACACAAATGATTCCCCTTCTTCACACAGAACTTAAAAAAGGCGCGAGGTCACCGAAATCCAAGGCCTTCTTTTGGTTGTAATTGATCTTTGCTGCAATATCTAGGTTCTCGGATCCAAGCGGAGCGATGCAGAGTCCAAGATTTATGCAATAGGCGCTGTAGAGGAAGTATGATGCAATGGCACTGGGCTTGACTGTCCTGTATCACGGCTGTGGGTAGATTGCTGCATTGTGATTATTCATCAGGCCGAGAAACGCCTGAGGACTGTGTGTTCGACCAATGGCCGCTTTGACAAGAGATAAGCAGCGATCGGGCCTATGTTGAAGAAGGATTTGCTTGATCATGTGCGCAGCAAAATCTCGAAAAGGAACGGTGATTGTGGCCATTGCGAATAGCACGTAGCAACTCTTGGCTGTGAAATGTTATAAAAAACACACTCCCGACCGTCTCCTGCCCAAATTGTCCTAATGGGATCACTGGCGAGCGATCTCAGGGACGGGAGGTCGACTGGTCAATCCAACTGTGTGCTCGCTCGTCCACATCTTAGGCCGTGATGCTCCGTATCGGACGATCTCGAAAGCCATCCGGTGTGGCATGGCAACATAAAGTTGTCTGTTAGCTGGTCTTATTGGCATCTGCGACCATACGTAAACGAAAACAAGAGGTTGGGGTGTCTGCTCCAGTCGGGAAGTCAGTTGGATTGAGAATCACGCAGTGTCGACGTCAGGTGGCAGAGAAGGAGGACTTACGACGTGGACCTCGTAGCACAGTCGCCACGGTTTGAGCCCCCATATCCAAGTCAAACTTTGCGTCAGGTTCAGCGCTTGTATTTCTGTCCTTCAGAACAAGGAATTAAAGTGCGGGGGGTGGAACTTTCTGAAAGTCGTCCTAATCCATCGGAGATAATAGCTTGAAAGCCTTCCACGAGGATGAGGAGGATGAGGGAATGGGAACGACCAAGTCGGGGTTGAACTCCTCGGCGATGGGCATGATGATTTTTTGGAAGGCGGCAGTGTACTCGCCATCCCCCATTCCCTGAGCATGTCATCCGATCAAATTCTTTCCCAATCCAGGTCCTGTACCGTAGTGCTCGAGGCCTCCATCTGGTATTTCTGCATTCTCAGGTGGTCCGGGGTAGAACCGTCCGTTTTGGTAGACGTGTAGGGAGATGTACAGAACATTTGGGTCACAAGAGGACGGGGAGGGCGGAAAGAATGGAGGGCTTGTACGAAGCGAGTCGCGGGGAGAAGAAACAGATTTCGAAAGAGTTGACTTGACGCCGGGTGACGCATAAGATGTTGCAGCACGAGGCCTACTTTGAGCTCTTCGTGGTGATGCCTCGGTTTTTGGCCTAGTTGTGGTGTTCCTAGACTTGGGGTATTCGGGAAGGACGGAGAGGACGGAGAGGACGGAGAGGACGGGAAGGATGGGGAGGATGGCGAATGAGTAAAATCTTCAAGTGCATTCTCCAGAGTCTTAAAAGATTGGACAGCGCAGTATACGTCGTGGCCAGGTGGTCTGACGATCAAAAGTGAAGAGCAATGTCGGGGGAATTTTGCGATACTGTCTGAAGTGTGAAGTATTGAGGAAGAAAGAAGGAAAGAGAAGCTTCCAACCCATTCGAGATGGAAGTAGACTTCCGAATCCGGATACTATGGTGCTATTGCCTACGATACTGGCCGGCGGTATTGCGAGGTGCAGAGGAGAAGAAAACCGTGGAGTCGGGAAGTCGGGAAGTCGGAAAATTGGAGAGCTGGAGACGGGATGCTGAGGCTGATGAGGGGCGGCGGCGACGGTGACAGACCGGCATTCCATGTAGAGACTGCGGGAGCTGAGTACACCGCAGGGGTATCCTGTGGCGGAGGTTCGATTGGATCGTTGCCATCATCGCCGGCATAGGAGTCAAGGGCTGAGTTGAAGGCTAGGTCGTCTGCCTGACTTGCCCAGACGATGTTGTTCGCCGCGCAGAGAGTATTGTCGTTTGGGGCGGACATGGCTATGGTTGAAAAGCCCGGGCGGCTGGGATCATTTGATGGCCCTGCCGGGGGATCTGACGGGTATGCTGCTGACGGCTTGAGAGTTGGAAGATTGGTCAATGGCTACATCGGGATGGCGGGTGAGTTGGACGTACAGAAAAGTCTCGCCGCTCAACGGCACCATTGTCTTGACGGCCATCGTCTCAGGGACCTGACGATGTCCCATGAGAACCGTCTCCAGCAATAGTGTGCTCACCAGGTTAACCGGCGCATCGAATAGTCCTTCCTAGGATGGTCCTGAGTTAGGAGGTAAGTGCCAGCCAAATATTTGTAACCGATGGGAGTATATAATGCGAGGCGTCTCACCTCTCTGCCACGGGTTACTCTTGCCAAGCTCCAGGAGTATCTTCAGCTCGGCAGCATCAACGACACCGGTCTCATAAGTCGCTGTCATGTCCTCATCCCATTATCAGCATGAGACGGGGCACCAAGTAATGAACGCCCAATGGCGTACATTCGTCACCCACTTTGTTGCGCGGTGGCTCACGACACTGTCAAAGTGGAGAGTGACAAAGGCCCAGACCGAATCATGCACGAGTTTGCTGTAATAAGCTTAGATACGGGGTATCAGCTTGTCGTGAAGGTGGAGGTGGTGGACTAACGGTCGGCATCGGAGGAGAGGAATCGTCGACAGTGCGGGGAATACAAAATGATGGCACGAACACGAACACACCAGCGGAAGTCGCGTTGCTCTTTGGGCTTCGAGACGTACTAGGCGATGAGGTCGCCAAGGGTTTGCTAAACACAATCAGAAAGTTATCAGTGGTGGAACACGACATATCATGTTACGAAAGAATGGCAACATGCCGTCGAGCTATTGTTGCGGCACATGGTGGCCGAGAATCGATGAACCCAATTTACGCAATGGGTCAGTGATGTAGTGAGAAGCAGGTGGGAAGGCAAAAGTCGTCGATGCGTATAGAGGACAGGAGGTCCTGGTTCCAATTGTATGTTAGGGTAACATGGCATGCACACGGTGTCCTCAGCCAATGCTCACAGCCGGTGGCGCCGTGTAGAGCGTCTGATTTCTCACCATCTCGTCACCGCGCCTTTACGTGCTTCTAGACGAAAGCTGAGTGGTCGGACCCATGTCTCCTTGCCGTTGGGAGAGTGCGCGCAGACGAAATTCAGGGTACGGGATGTCGTTGATGGAAGACTCCTCGACTGAACTCTGGCCTAAAAAGCGTATTAGCAGGTGTGCGCGTTGAGAATGACCTGACAAACTGTCGTTTCTTTTTACCGTAACTTGATGCTTCTGCTTTGATGCTATAGCCCACGACGATGTTCTCGTTTGACTAGGACAAGAGGGCTCCAGCAGGCTGAGAGTGGCTGATGTTTGTCAAGGGCGCGCTCTCTGTGTGGGCAGAGCCATTGACGAGAGGCTGGGCCTTCTCCGTCTCCGACTGCCGAAACACGACGAAAGGGAAAACTTTACTGCTGGATGTTGATTGACGGCGGTGATAATCATAATGATGACAATGGTGGTGGTAGAGATGTTGCAAGATCTTGCAAACCAACACAAAAAGCCATGGTGCATGAAAAACCTGGCCGACAAATACGTCTTTGGGCAGTTCAATGGTCTCCTAGATTAAGGTGACTTAGCCTGCAGTGGGTATCGGAACATTTGAATCGGGTGCCGCTTCGGACGGAGAACCATGTACTGTATTGCCCTGCGAGTTTGGTGGACGAGGAATCAGGTACTGCTCCAAGGAGACTGATGGTTTCCCTATCGCAGGGTAATTGGTCCGAACCGTGGGTTGACGAAGAGGTCAATTGAACTATATCAAATTCTGCGCGAGGTGGAAAAGGGAGGTTCCGACAGTAGGTTGGGCAGGCAGTGATTATCGTAAGTATGGTCTGTAAGTGGCCCTTGTGCGGGCCCGCGGCCTCGAGGTCGAACAGACTTCCAATTAGACAGAGACTGATTGTGATCCAGAGTTCATACGAGCAGATATGGACTGGCTCTGGGTGAATGGAGCCTGGCTGCTGGCCCGAGGAGAGTGCTGAGACCCTTCGTGCGAGTTCGGAATTCTCTGCTGTTCATTCGCATGCCGGCTGGCCTTGGAATACGCGTAGCCGCTTGAGCTTGCCCGCGGATGCTCGGAAGCGGCGAAACAGGTCGCGGGGAGTTGCGACACGCGGCTGTGGAATCCCGGTAGTGGAGTGACTGCCATCCGAGGGAGTAGGTGCCCAGCGAGTGCCCGCGACGTTGGCATCCAATGTCGCAAGACGCTTTGGAGAACGTTTTGCCACCACAGTCTCGCCACCGGTCGTTCACGATCTTTTAGCTCCAGGAGGAGGAGGTTGAGGGGTCAGGCCGTTCTTGGCAGTGATGGCGGTGAGGCAGCGACGATGTTGGTGCGAGGACCTGTGGGCCAATGTTAGCTTTTGTCTCTTGGAGCGGCGCAATGCCGGAACATGCCTCTTGGGATCTGTTCATGTCTAGAACACAAGAGAGGAGAAGTAATCGCGAGTGAGGTGGTCGTTGGCGGCGATATTGGCGGTGATGCTGTTGCTGTTGAGAGCTGGTGCAAACCGAGACAGGAAGCCATGGTGCAGGAACAGATGCGGAAACACTTGATGAAGAAGGAACTGCGTCTGCGTCTGATTGTTGGCAGAGGTGACGATTTGCCCAATTCATGAAGAGCAGGTGGGATGGGAGATGGAACTTTCGAAAGAGCAATCAGGGAGGGTGCAGTTTGCGTACCTACCTTACCTTGCGCAGTGTTCAGGTGTCTGTCTATCGATGGAAGGCAATGGAAGCTAAGGTAGGTACCATGGTACCAGTGGAAGGCGTCCCCTGGTTCGCGCCTTCCATGTCATCGAGACGGGAAGTCTCCATCGATGTTGCTCTTGTCCGGGACCGAGACTGCAAACGGGCCTGACTCTTGAGAGGTTGGAATAAGGTACGCGCTAAATGAAGAAGGCGTGGGGGTCTGGTTGAATGAATGAGGTGGTGAGTGCCACATTGTGGAAACTTGAAAGACAACCCCGCCAAACTCCAATTTCAACCGTGGCCGTGGTAGGTTTTGGAGTGAGTAGGCCAAATCCAACCGTGCGCCCGGCAGCTTTTGGAGTCGACAGTCGACGCCCCACCCACGCCAGGTTATCTGCACAAGGTACCTTCAGGTAGTCGCCAACCTTAATTGAACGTCGCGGCTTCCGTGTTCTGCCATGGACTGACTTGCTTCCGGCGTGACTGGACTAATGTACGTCACGGAGTACCTACCTACCTTACGTAAGGTGTTACTGACATGACTGGTTTTCGGTCAGTTACAGGCGTGCCGGCTCCAGTGGGCACCTTACACGCCGACTTTCAGGGTCACCTCACCTACCTTGACACTCGACGAGTACTGACTGAGGACTCCACCCGGAAGGATATTCTCTTCCTCATTCAACGTCCTTCTGTCCGGGACAGGTTACAACGGAGATTTTCTCATCCTCCAACTACCGAACTGCCAATGCACCATCCCATGCCAGCAAATTGCAGCAAGTCTGCAGCCGCCGTCTGTCCCTTTCTCAGCTGTGAAAATGTCTTGTCACGTCCCGTCGACTAAGGTACTCCGTAGAAACATGTTGCCTTCCATTTGCATCTCCATGTTGAACAACTCCACCGACCTAACTCACCTCATACTTCAGAAGGTGCAGTGCAGTGCAGTGCAGTGTGTCCTAAACCCGAGGCATCAACCTCAGGTCCACTGACAGCCAAGCGTCACCTCACTTTTTGAGCATGTCTTATCTATCCTTTCTTGAGGCATTGCATGAAGCATTGCACGAGGTGCTTGCTGAAACGAGTGCTTTGCCTTCCGAGCAGGCGGGACATGTCATCATGGTGGAAAGATGGAGAGAATCTTCCCTGATGGCGTTGCGAGACAACTGTGCCAACCCATCAGACCACAAGATCCTTCTTTACGTGCTTGATCAGACTGATGCACCCGGCGTCCAATGAGATTACCACTTCTTTATCTGTCCCGCTTCCTCTTCTCCATCACCTGCGTTCTCGCGCAGCAAGACATCATGCTCTCGCCCAATGCACACATGTTCAGTACCGCGGCCCTCCTAGGTAATTCTGGAGCAATGTCAATGCATCCTAGAGGCCCATGAGCGACTATACCCATCCTTTTGTAAGGAAATCAGTGGCTATTGCCTTCGACTTTGGCCTGCTTTCTCTGCTTTCTTCTTCTTGCCAGCTGCCCATGTAGCTGATTTTCTGAGTTCACGGAGGGATTGGAGCTACTGTCGGAAACATTGACGGCAGAGAAGGGGATTCGGTAGGTGGTCGAGCCCTTACGGTCGGCCCTTCCACTCATGTACACCCAACACAGGAATCGTGGGCTCTGTTGACCATCATCCTCCCGCCATATGCATTCGCAGTTCGACATCACGATTATTGAGCTTCGTGCCGGCTGAAAGTCTTCCCCTGCTGACGTGTACACCAACATCTACCATCTGTTGTTGATTCTGTCCCTGCCGCTCCAGGGCGGTGGTTAAGCTAGCTGATACGGTAATTCCTGGTCTCTCAAGGTCCGATTCCGCGTAGAAATCGTGGTCTCCTCCACCGGCTCAACTTCGACGACCCTGGTTGGCATATCACCTTCCCCTCGTCGTCCTACCCTTCCGTCTGTTTATAAATCATTCGCCTGTCTATACGCGGCTGCTCTTGTGCGTCTGCAACAACGAGCAAACGATGATGCCTTGCCAGCGTGGAGGTCCTTGCTTTTCCTTGGTCACTCAACAGTCGATGGCCTTGAGATGACACGTTTGCTCCCAGACTCGTGGGCCACTGGGTCATGAACACACTCATTTTCTCCATTGACATGACCACTGTGTCGTCACTGCTCATCTCAGACCGTGAAGCACAGAGTGGCCATGCAGATGAGTCAATCGAGATAAGAAGTCCGTCCACGAGTAAGAGGGAGCCTTGGAGACGGGGGCGGAGGAGGAGTAGGCTGTGCCGCGACAGCCTTCCCAGGAAAATTACAGCACGTACAGGACAGAAGCTATTTTTTCTCGGTTTTCAAAAGTAACAAAATAGCCGACTTTGCCTGCCGGCAGCCCATTCCGAACGCTTCTACTAACCTCAGGTTCACTCTCTGTGACGCAGAAGATGTCGTCACTTAACAATTCTGCCATTCAGGTACACTTTTCTGCTTCACTCTAGGTAGCTTCG